AAAAAGTCCACTCACATTCTAAATTAAGCATAAATCAAGATCCACGTGTACTTTTTTTGGCTGAGGCTTATAACAAAGATTGTAATAAAATAGATTCAATAATTTTTATTTTTTAAAACGACCGGGTAAATCAGTAATGGCTCTAAGTTTTGGAATGCTTGAATTTTGAGGGATTCAACTCTACGAGCCTTTATTGCTTCTCCTTCCATGCTCCCACTAAGCCAAACTCTTTTATACTTAAATTAGAAATTAGTAGTAGGATACTTTAATTTGATTTGACAACTAAACCATTTTTAATAAAGTTGAACATAAATAATTTAATTTATTATTTTATTTTTTATAAGGAATTAGCTTGTATTTAGTTTACAAAATGACTTACACCATATAATTTGGGTTGTCAATCTTATCGCGTGTCTCATCTTAATAATTCTAATAGTAGCCACACTAGTTTATGACATTTATTATTTACGAAAAAAATAAATGATAAATATTTACAATAAACTAACATGGCTATCGTTATCAAATCGATTTAATTTTTGTGATCTACATATTATGATTTAAAAAATAAATAATTTTGATTATTGATACAAGACCCGTATTAGAGCCACGTATTCAAACATGTTTGTGGGATGAGGACAAACTAGATCTTTTTATAATACATTTAATTGAGTAAATAAATTTTTATCATAAAAATCAAAATTTGAAAGTAGCAAAGTGCATCCAAGTTTGCAATGCTCATATACATACAGAGCTTTGCATTTTAGCAGAGTAATGATTTTTCTATACGCCTCCCTCGAGTTGGTGGGATCTTCCATGAAAGTGTTGCTGGATAGATACAATTTTAAAAAGGTGAATCCATAAAATGTTTGCTTCGTATGTCGGTACAACTGCTGTTTGCCTACTCGGTTCTTGTTTATGCTTGTATTGGGTCCCCAACCCTGAAAAAAGTTTAGTTACTCAACATTAAAAAAGAAAAGCAACATTAGCGATTTTAGAAAAAAAAAATTATCAAAAGTTTTAAACCCGTGTGAGTGTTACCTATCTGAGTATTGTGTATAATTTTTTATAATTATTTTGAGATTTCAAGTATTTGCCTTTAAAAGGTTTTCTTATTGAGAAATATTCTTTATCACTTGCTTTTTGTCACTCTTTTGTATCACTATTTATGGATTTTTGTAATTAATTTTTGAGTTAATTACACAAAAAAAACCTTGATATTTCGCGTCTTTTTTATTTTAAACTCTAGATTTTTAATTTCGACAAATTAAACTCTATTTTTCCACCTGTGTTTTAATCTGACCCCTCCCTCCATTTCTATCATATCAAACTAACGAAAATTTAGACAGAATTTCAGATTCGAATCCACTTGTTCAAGCACTTGTATCTTCTTCGTCGTAACTCTGTTTCGCCTCATTTTTGCGTCGTTGAATTCATCTCACGGCCTAGTTTCATTCCACCCCTCATAAGCCTTGTTCTACCTCTTTTGGCATGCCATCAGAGCTCCGAAAGTTAGCTAAAAATAAGATTTTTCTCTCTTTAAGCAAAATTTTCAGATTTAGACTCACATGTTCAAGAACTTGTATCTCCCTCGTCGTAACTCTGTTTTGCCTCATTTTTACATCGTTGGATTCACCTCATGACCTAGTTTTCATTTCATCTCTCATATGCCTTGTTTCACCTCTTTTTATGTGCCATTAGAGCTCCGAAACGTAGCCAAAAATAAGGAAGAGGAAAAGAGAGAATAATTGTGGAAAGGAAGGAGGAAGGAAGAAGCATAGAGATGGAAGATAGAAAATAGAGGAGGAAACAAAAAAAAAAGAAGGGAAAAATTATATTTTTGGCCAAATTTCAGAGCTTTGACAGCACATAAAAAGAGGTGAAACAAGTCCTATGAGTGGTGGAATGAAAACTAGGCCATGAGATGAATCCAATGATGCAAAAATGAGGCAAAACGGAATTACGATGAGGGAGATACAAGTTCTTGAATATATGAGTTTGAATCTGAAAATTTTGTCCAAAGAGAGAAAAAAATTATTTTTATCCAACTTTTGGAGCTTCGACGGCATTCAAAAAGAGGTGGAACAATGTGTATGAGAGTTGGAATGAAAATTAGGCCATGAGGTAAATCTAACGACACAAAAATGAGGGAGATACAAGTACTTGAACATGTGGATTTGAATCTAAAATTCTGCCCAGATTTCCGTTAGTTTAACATGACAGAAATAGATGGAGGGGCCAGATTGAAACATGGATGGAAGGATAGGATTTAATCTGTCGAAATTGAAAAGCTGAGATTTAAAATGAAAAAGGCACAAAATCCTAAGATTTTTTGTGTAATTAACCCTTAATTAACCGTTAGCCCCGTTTATTTCTCTTTTACTCAAAGTCAAATGTAAGATAATGCAATATTTTTTATTTTTTTAAATTTATTTATCATTTGAAAATGATGTTTTGCACCAAACATCCATTTCCAACCTTCAAATTATCAAATACACCTTTGTCATGCAAAAGATTACGATTTATGACTCTATTGATTACTTACTTTCTGCTTGAATTTTAAATGTGTATAAATTTCACTATAGAAAAATCGCAAATTAGCGGCGTTTTAAAACGCCGCAAAATGCCAGGAAAACGCCGCAAAAAGATAAGACGACGTTTAAAAAATTCGTCGCTAATACGGCTGCCGTCATATCTTTGTGGCGTTTCAAAACACCACTATAGAGTTTAGACGACGTTTTTTAAAACGTCACTAATTTTTAACAGCTGTTTGACTATTTCCGTCAGAATTAACTATGACGTAAGCAATGACGACATTTTGCGACGTTTTTATGAAAAATGCCACTTTTTCTTTGCTTTTAAAAAAAATTCATAATTAATGATTTTTTTACTGCTGTTCAAAGCAAACCACCCATCCATCACCATTTTCAAAATATATGAAAATGAATAAAAAATAAAAAAATTACTGATATGGAGTACTCATTTTTCAATTTTCCACAATCAAAATAAAAATAAAAAAACCCCTTTTGTAACACAATATGTTAACTCAATACATAAAAATAAAAATTACTAATATTTTCTCATTTTAACGGAAAAAAAAAACAATAATATAGAGTGCGCTCTGGTATTTAGCTTCAAGTTAGCTTCAAGGGCTGCTCTATCGAAAAACTTCACCCCAGCTCATCAGCTTGGCTCTGCAATAGAGCAAAGCATTACACTTCAACACATCTAATAAATCATATGTTCAAGAGAATTAAGGACATTTCCATAAATATCCATATAATCAGCAATTCAACATCACTAAAACATGTTGGTGAATAGAAACCAAGCTATACAAAATTAATTTTCAATCCTATCAATAAGATCATATATATTGAAAGCAAACCTAAAGCTCTTTGAGAACATCAACTCGCTTATGAATATAATTGTAAAAAATATATTTATAAAGAAGACTCTAAATTTATAACTGCAAAAAATATATTCAACCAGTAGATTTAACAATTACGTTGTCAAATTGTTCAAAATACACAGCCTTATACTAAATTTTCCCCTGTAACTCTTGCAAAGTAAAAGAAATCAGAAAGCCACAAAAGGAAAGAAATGCAGACCATCATAATGCCTGTCAAACAACTGGCATCTTTACATGCAACAATATCAAAATAATTCCAGAAAGAAAACAACTAGCAACATTCTTATTCTTATACATAAGCACTTCAAAACAATCCAATTCTCATTACCGAATCCATAATCAAGTTACAGCATTCTCACGACAACTTAAAAGATCATTAAAAAATACAAGTATGATGTGAAGAAAGCTATTACACGCACAACAAATAATAAGATAGCAGCGGAAGGGTAGATAACAACACACAGAAACAAACAAATTTAACCAAGCTTTAGTGTTTTCACCCATATGGATATTTTTAGATTAAATCCCTTCGATAACTAGAACATAATTTAAGTTGCAACTAGAATGAGGCAAGTATCATGGAAAAGACTTATATAAAACGACTCCAGATCCAAGAATAGATATCCATTCATATGTCATTATCATCAGTATAATGACATAGCATATGAAGATCTCAATGTTCATCAAAACTGACCTGAACTATCAAATCTGACCTGAATACTTGGGAATGATGTATCTTCAACAAAGCACTGAAAAAGAAAGCCTCCTAAGAGCCTGGATCCGAAAACCATTATGTCCCCGACAACTACGATCATCAAATTTCAATTGTCATCTTTTGTTATTTGACTAATCTTTAAGCAAAAATAATAATAATAATAATTTGGTCCACTCTAACAAATAAAATTAATTAGTTGAGACCAAACCTGCAGCAGTCTTCACATTTGCAAAAATTGAAGCTACTAGAAAAGCCAATTAAATTTGCAAGTTTACGTAGATGAAATAAAACACAAATTAGATGATGTAGTCATTGAGTGTGAAGAATTTCAACCTTGCATCAAAATCAACAGTTTTAAAGCAACTTGATTAAAAAAAGTCAGAAGAAATACAGTAGTCCATTTCTTGTCTTATTACCTATGACTGAGCCAAATAACACAAAACATAACATTTAGGCCAAATATATGACAAGAAAATAAGCATAAATAATCATCCAATAAGGGCCGGCGCCAAGCCCATGCATTTTCATCATGATTCTTAACTTTTGTTGCTTCTCGTAAACCAAAGATGTCAATATGACCTGCATAAATAGGGAAAATAATTGAAGTTTATTACCATATATAAGAATGAAACAAATAACATCTTCCTAAATAATATACCAACAGATATCAGATGCAATCATTTCATTGACTATAAAACATAACATGCATGCTTCAAATACTCTAATTCAAACAAACACCACTGTTGGTGAAAAAGAAGGAGAAAAAAAATACTCACAAGGAGTAATTGAAGAATAACCCATGTAAAGAAGAGTAGTCCAAGGACAGAAGCGAAATCTATCTTGATTTGGGTCTCAAGCTTGGGCATTTCGTTGACAAACTCAAATAGCATTTCCGTAGCAAGCCGAAGCAAAAACTAGAGGTAGGCATTTGAGGCCTGTACATGTATGAATTGTAAAACTTAATTCTCATGTTTGTCAATCAATGCAGCACTGCTTTACATTTTGCTACTAACCACTAACCAATCATACAAAGAATCAATTCTTGTTTGCTTAAAAACCATGAGGTGATGAGTAGGTAAAAAATTCCTACCATAAATGGAAAGTAAAACAATGCCCAAGTAAAAAACAAAATTTAACAGCCACCACATCTAACTGTTAGCACTAGTCACTACTAAAAAAAACACTTTTTGATATCTAGCTTCATGTACAATTCAAAAAATAAAAAATGGCATAACTAACACCACCTACTCAAATGTTCAAATTAATCATTACAATTGCAAGACAGCAAGTCTGATATCTAGCTCCATGTACAAAGAAGTTCCAAAACTCCACCAACCCAAGTTCCAAAGATCCCAATAGAAAGATCAATTAGGAATGTGGGTAACAAAATTGTTTCCCAAGAACAAGAACCATACAGAATTCCAAACAGTAGAACTGGATAGCTTATCCAGCTGTCCAAACACCATCAAGATCGCAAAACATGACCTATAGGTGATGTCATAGTAGACAACGAAGTATATAAAATCTCAAAATTAGAATCCAGCAAAAAAAAGACAAAACCTACTAAGCTCCACATTCCATGAAATAACATGAACATAATCCAAAGCAATGTTGAGAATCTAATCTAATCATAATAATTTAATAAATGAACATAATCCACAGCACAGACAAGGAATGTCAATATAAAGACTCAACAGTAAATAAATAAAAATAACATGCCAAGAAGACTGAAATTATCAACATTTGATCCCATTGAATGACCACAAGGAATAATTTTAGCCAGGTTAAATCCAAAGAGAAAAAAGTGCTCCAATCCAAGCTTGCAAAATGAAGCAATATTTTACACATTAGCTTCTGTATCTCTAAAATAAAATGATACATATATAGTTCTATTGTACCTAATAGGACCTCTTTAAATTTGGAAATCAATCAAAACATTGAAGAGAAAAAGAATGACAAACCAAAAACAAAGAACAAAGGCCAAAAGCAGCTTTTTTCAACAAAGAAATGTAAGTATGTTCATACCTTTTTCTCCGCCTTTAATCGGGCAATCAAGCCATGCTGTGTAGAGGGGAAAAGTTAGAATGATGATATCATGGTGAACGTACATGTTTGAATCACCATCAGCAGGGTCCTCATAAATCCAAACCTATTTGTACACATTGAGCTCACCAAATAAACTGGCTCGCTAGTATAAGAAGAGATGGGAGAAATGAAACTATATATTCTCCAACTAAGTACTACATGCCTCAAGATGGCTGACATCATCTTCGTTACAAGCACACACTATGACAGCATCCTCAGCTATTATGGTCATGTCCTCAACCTCTTCAGAGTCATCATCCTAAAAGGGCAAGGAAATAATAAGACAGAGAATTCCATTTCCTTCAACAAAAACAAAAGAAGTAACAAAAGTCAAACAATAATGTACAACATTGGTCAAACAAACTTACATTCTGATCCTTCAAATACGGGTCCATGTCATTACTTGGATAATAAGCATCCCCAATTCTCGTGCCAATCAGCTCAACACCTGCAACAACCAGGAAATAAATGCATGCTTGCTTAAAAGTTCATTTGATACTTTTTGCACATAAATAAAAAAATGGACAGTTGACCAAATAATTATAATGCTTCAAGATTAAGCCATGCCTTCAAATATACAGAATCAAAGAAACTATTCCCCATTAGAATATAAGAAAATAGGAGAGGGTTACCATCATCCTCTTCATCATAGTGTTCCATGTCTAGTTCCTGCAAAGAATCTGCTATGTCTTGAAAAGGAACTGAAGTGGTGCTCAAGGAGGCTTTGCCAAGTGCATCTGCAATAACTAATGCACGGGCAACTTCACCACCCTGTTTAGCATCATCAACAACCATATCTTCATCATGGTCCTCATTTTCACTCTCTTCACTGCAAAAGAATCAGAAATACACATAGGTATATACTAGACCAAAATTACATAAAATCTCATTCTTTTACCGCAATAAATTACTTTGTCTATGGAACTAAATAGTATCCTCATATAAAGAACAGCATATTAGAATACATGAGGGGGTGAGAACACGGTTACAAATAAGAGGTGCACTTCTGTATAATCATTTTCCTTTTCACATTTTTATTTTAAATTTTTTTGGTAACACATCATGTAATGTCAAAAAGCTAATCACAAATTAACATCTACAAGGACAACAAGAGCTGATTCTGTCATTCCAAGTTACAATCATAAGAAGACGCAAGGGAGATGGGTGGAGAATGGGGGGCAAATGGTATCTAAAGTCAACTGATTTAGTTGCAAAATGTCTTTTTAATCAATTATACTGTATAAAAAATTACCCAACAGAATAATATTCAGCTAAATTGAAAGAAGTGAGGATGTAAAAAGTTTTACCTTCTCTCAAAAGTCCTGCTGTTCAAAATCTCTTTAATTTCCTCTTTTGAAGGAGGCTGAGCCATAACTGGGATAGACCTTGAGACCCCTTTGGGGACCCAAGAAATAGCTGCTATCATATTCTTTAGACCAAAGGTCTATCTGGTCTATCAACAGACAAGAAAAGAATCTTTTCAAAATACAACTCCCAAAAAACATACAAATGAGAACTCTTACTAAAAGTCACAAAAACACAAACCATAAACTAGAACCGATCTTCAACTAAAACTATCTATTTGAAACCAGAATGCAAAAGTAACACAGAGCTACCAAGCATGTTACAGCAGGGCCAATTGTGGAAATAAAGAACAAGAAAGCCAGTGGTGAAAACTCTGTTGACTGTTGAGTCCAAAACACAATGCTATAGCAAGCTTATCAAACATAATTTGGCAAAATCAAAACTCTAATGCTGTGTTTGGTTGATTGAAATGAGATGGAATGGAATGATCATTCCTTTACAATGGTATATTCCGTTTGCAATGTGTTTAACAGACATGGAAATGAACAATTTGATGGAATCATTCATTTCATTTCATTCCATCGAACCAAAAACTATCTGACAGTGAAAACCTCATTATATCCTAAATTTCGAGAATTGAAGCTATCAATCTTTAGGGTAAAGTTCTATCAATTAGAGAAAGATCGTCCAAAATACGAACAGAGAATCTGTAAAAAGAAAAACATGGTGCTTATACAAATACATGTATGTGTAGGTGTGTGTATATATATATATACATATATATATAAGCATGTAACTATATATGCAGTTAAGAAAATAGATGTAAGGGAAGGGTTACCTAAGAGAGAGAGAGAGAGAGAGTCGGGCAGAAGAAGAAGGGGCTGGACTGCAAGAGAGGGGAGCTTTTTGTGAGTTTGAGTTGTGGAAAAAGATCTTGAGACTGATTGCAAAACAGGAAAGAAGAAATGGAGAAAAGCCTATTATTTCATCGGCTGTTTTCCTCTTGCTCCGACTCGATCGGACTCGATCTCGGTCCATGTCTCGATCCCGATGATCTTGATCCTTCTTCATTCCTCAGTTTCGTAACCTTGCCGATTTGTGCAACTCAACCGAACCATCTTCCTTTACAAAATCATTAGAATCAGAATCAAGAAAACCAAAAAAACCATCAAGAAATTTCAAACAAATCGATGCAAGAATCAATAGATTTAGAATTAGATCTGAACCCTGGTGAATCTCTCAAGAAGCATGAGGAGACAGAAAAAACCCTAGATCTAGGACAAAGAGAGAAAACGATAGAGAGAGATGAAGAGAGAAAACAAAATGACGGAAAGAGAAATGGGGGCAGAGGGACACGGAGCACCGTTATTAAATGGAACACGCGTATCTTTAATTTCACTTTAGATTTTGCACAGCGTTTTTCAAAAAAACGTTGTCTAAAAAACGTGGTTATAGACCAATTTTGTTGTAGTGTTTGTGTATAGAAAAGAGAAGTCAAGAAATTTGTATTAAAAAAATAATAACTCTATTTCATTCATTTTTCAGTCTCTTTTTAATCTTTCTTCATAATTTTTTCTCAAAATTTAAGATCCAAACACATTCTTTAATTCTTTCCTCTATTTTTTTTATAATTTTTTATTGTCTTTCTTTTCTGTACTTGAAAGACCTTTTATGTTGAGTCCATTTGATAAAGATTTATGGATCTTAATATTCTTAAAAGGTTCCTAATAAAAATCTTCCACAATAATCATAAATATAGCTAAAAGTTGCTACTAATAGTACTAATCCTTTTGGTTATGTTTGGTTTAAAGATTCGGTAAAAGACTTTTTTATAAAAAGAAAAAAATAAGTGAAATATAATCACATTTCACATACTTTTTTATTTTTCTTTTTAAATCTCTCACCAAATTTTTAAACCAAACACAAGAGACAAAAATTACGGTTAGTAACAAAAAGAAAAATGCTTAGGACCTCTAATTTAGAGGTACCACTAGTGATGTCCCACCCACTGCCACTGTCAGTCATGTCTTAATTTTGTGTTTTTTTTTTTTTTTTTTTCTTTTTCCACCTCATTAAAAATGTGTTTAGAGGTGTGTTTTTAGAGATTTCTAGCATTGTTGTAACAAAAATCATGAGAGATGGTCATTTTCTAGTTTGCACCAGCCGGCCCACTTCATGCTTCTTTTTTTTATTTTTTAATGATTTTATATTACCGACGTTAAAATCAAAAATTAAAAATATATATATGCAATAAAGGATGGTACATAAAATACAATGAATGATCCAATGCTTTCTAGGTAGGCACCACACCACCCTTTAATTATTGAAGTGCTTCAACTAGTTCTTTTTCTTTCAAAAAATAGCTTTCTCACTTTAGGTAGAAAAGCATGAGGGCCAACAAAAAAAAAAAATCCAATCCTCTAAAGTTTAATGGGAAAATTATCAAATGTTCATAAATCCAAACATTTACATTTGGTTTATTTAGGCAAAAAATATTAGTGTTTTAATGTAATGAAAAACGAAAATTAACAAAAAATATGTTTCATGATTAATAGAAAATAAATTTATTTGGACAAAAAATGTTTTATACTTTTAAAATAATGTCACCATCACTATTGCCATCACCCTCGTTCCTGCCGCCCCATCACGCCACCACCTCCACCTCTACCTTTACCTTCATCCCGCCACTACCACTACCAAATATTAAAAAATATTTTCTTCAAAAAATCTTCTTCTTTTTTTTTCTTTTTTTTTAAATTTGTAAAAATGTTTTCTGCTGAAACAAATTGAGCGTTACTATTTTATTTCTTAAAACTCTTAACATAAAAGTACTAGATTCTATAGTTTAGACTAATAATTATTACTTTAGAACACCATTTGAATTTGCTTTAAGAACATTAAATTATTTCTTGAAATAAAGATAGCCAAAGTTTCCGCTTAAATTTGTTCACCATAACCACAACATTTTCCATCAACATCTTCATCTTTTCTGGGAAAAAAAATATTTTTATGAACCAATGAATCTTTTAAGACAAGTAATACAAAGAAAATGAAAGAAGCCAGCTAGTTTTGGCTTATGGGAAATGCTATAGACACACGCGCGCGCAAACAAAAAAAAAATGTTACCGTTGTCTTTTATCTAATTTTTTTTTTTATAATAATTTTAGACTGATTTTTTATATGATTGAAATTTTATTTATCTATTCTATTTGTATTCGATGAAAATAACTTTGGGTTTGAAATCGGTTGAAATGTTCAATTTTGTCTCTTTTCCCTTTCACTCGGTAAGATGTTAATAAAGTGAGTCGTGTACTTTTTATGTGTTCTATTTTTCACTTTGTTTATATTCTCCATTAATATTGAAGGTTATGCTAAAAATAGTCCACTCAAATATATTAAGACAAGAAAAATGTCAAAAGAAAGAGTCACGAGTCATTTTTTAGACATTTTCAGCACTCTTCTCACTTTCATCTAGTCTAATAATAGCCACCATTTCGACTACCATGTGTCAGTTATTAATTATCAAAAAAAATTGGTCACCAATTTTTTTCATTTTTGGGAACTTTAAATTAAATAGAAAAGCATTATATACCAAAGTAAAAATGTGGAAGATTTATATAAATCTTCCACATTTCTTGGGAGATTGTACATGACACATTGGCATGCATTATTACCTTTTTTTCTTCTAGTCTATTTATAAACAATTACACGAAAAACCAACCTCATGATACGTGAAAATTGTCATGTATGCGGATAATATGTGCTACCCTTCTATGTTGTTCTCTATCTTCTTGGTAAAATCTTTTTTTTGAGCTGATAAAGAAAAAGAATGGCGGTGAATAGCTCCCAGGAGAAGCAATGGGTTGCTCCACGAGAAAATGGCAAGCCGGGCTTGTTTGAGAAGAAAAAAATTTCAACAAGGTTTAGCGAAAAGATCAAGAAAACCAAAGTTGTAGCTTCTACCGGCATGAAGAAAGTTAAGGAAGGAGCCTCGGCTGGCGCTTATTGGATGAAACTCATGTACCGTGATGTCAAAATTAAGAAATAGAAATTTATTTTAGAAGAATTAATTATCCTCATATGTTGTCCTCACTTGTTTATCCTTCTATATTACATACAATAATGACGATTTATTTCAAGTTTGTTATTGTATGATGAGGATTTCGTCATATTCGTATTGATATTCTTTCTTCTTTTTTTCTTTTACTAGGATAATTTGTGAGCATTTTGATTCCATTGTGCTATATGATTATGATTATTTGATGTAATTCTTTGTTGAATAGAAGACTTGAAAAAGTTGGAAATCTAATTGAATATAGGCCTTGAGGCCACACTTTTCCATCCCTAAACTTGGTGGTTGAAAGCCGTTAATGCTATACAACCAGAAATCTTTACAAAAAATTTTGTTACCCAATTTTTAAAATTAATGTATGTTATAGAACTATGATGTCGATGGTTGAAATCCAAATTTGAAAAGTATAATTGCCTAGTATAAATGTGTTATTAAATTGAAAATGATTTTGGAATGTTGGAAAATAATGACTTTTAAACCTTATATAGAGTTGTTCCATGACTATTGTTCTTATTGATTCAAGAGAACCATATCAGCGTGTTAAGTTGGTGTTTTGAAACTATTGAAAAATTCAAAAGAAATGCAACTCAGTTTGAGAAGACAAATGAACCTGGGTTCAATTTGATCAAATACTTGCATAGATTTGGGTTCAATTTCATACTTGACGGTGACTAAGGCTAAGTTTGGGAAGTCCCAAATAAGCTAAAAAGTCAAAAAGTTACTCAAAAAGCTAAAAAGTTAACACTATTCACCAAAAGTCAACAATTACGGCTGCACAACTCCCAATTCAAATTTTTCTCTACAAATCAATTTTTACAATTTTTTATTACACATTTTTCAATAAAAAGTCAAAAAATTAACCCAAACATCCATATTTTCAACCTCAATTTTTTAGTCCAAAAAGACAAAAAATGTACTTTTTTAGTCTTCCCAAACTTGGCCTAACTCTTGTACTAAATGATAGATCTTGTTATTGAAACCAATCTTGTCTGCAAATTAGTAGTTTGCATTCTCTATCTCTTATTCACTTGTCACAATTTATACCCAAAAGAGGCAATTCTAATCAAGTCTATTTGATTAACATTTGGATTATTAGTTAATTCTATCTAGGATCTGAGTGATTTCTAGGATTGTTTTGGTTTCGATGATGTGGAACAAGTGCTGACTAGATTGGCAATACTTTCTGGGAGTGGGGGGAAGGATAACATACATAAAGTGGGACTATATTTTTTAAGAAAAAAAAATTAGAAATGTTTTATTACATACAACAACACAATGAATATTTTTAACTTAGGGTTAGGAGAGGTGAGATTTGAAATCAAGACTTATGTTGTATTTGGTTGAGAGATTTGAGAAGTGATTTGAAAAGAAAAAATGAAAATGTATGTGAAACTAGGTGAAATGTAAGTATATTTTATTTACAGTTCACCTAACTTTTCCTTTTCCCTTTTTAAATCCCTCCTCAAATCCCTAAATCAAATATAGTGTTAGGGTTTTATAAAGGAGACTTCTATCACTTGGGCTATTTCTTTGTCTCAAATCCATAGTTGTAAGAAATAATTAAAAATAAAATAGAATTGTCTTACCAGAACAATTCTTTTTATGCTCAACCAATCTAATAAATTTAGGGAGATAATATTTAAGTATCCTGAATTTTCAATTTTCTATTTTTATATTAATGTGTTTACAATTATAGAATTATATCTCGAAATTTTCATATATTTCAAAATTCTCACATCATTCTTACAATTGAAAATTCATTAGCACAGATAGATTTTGGGTTCAGAGTATCAATGACTGATATTCACACTTACTTTTTAGTCTCTCACACTTGTCCTTTATCATCTTGCCTCCCACAAGGATATAATTCTTTTTATTTGGAATTCACTCCTAGAGGACACCAAAATTCATTCATAATTTACATGTATTCAATAAACAGAAAAATACAAAAATTAAAGAACTATGTAGTTCGATACAAATTTGCCTAAGTACATGGAAAGAGAGAAAATTCCCAAATTAAAATGTTGAGTGTTAAAACAAACACCTTGTGGTGAAGCAAGGCAAGAACTCATGTGACTGGCATTTGAGCAAAATATGAGGAGTAATTTGTGCATGTTCTCATAAATTTCATGATCTCAAAAATTGATGATACGATACGACTAGTTTTCCCCTAAACACTGGGCTTTTGTTTGCAGCAATGCTAACCAGTTTAAAAAAGTTATTTAAAAAGTAGTTAGAGAATCAAATTTGTAAATCAAATTTATTTTTTTAAAAAAGAGTTTGAATCTATAGTATGTTTGATTAAAAAGAAATAAATGATGGAAAATGAAGTGAAAGAAAAGAAAAGTAAAAAGAAAATTCTAATATGAATTTGATTAGGCTAAGTTAGGTTAGGATGAGAGTGGTGGTTTCATTTTTCTGAAAACAGTTTCTAAAAAATTTTACTTTCTTATTTTTCGTATTTTTTTATTTTTATTGATTTTTTTAAATATTTTAAGCAATTTTTTTTAATTTGTAAACACACTTAACATAAATACACATAAAAAGTATAATTTTTGTGAAAAAAAATCTTTTAAAAATTCAATAAATACCAAAAATACGAAAATTTAGTATGTTTTTCATATTTTTATGTATTTGTTAATTTTTTAAAATATTTTTTCATAATTTTTTTACTTTTTAGATATATCTAAATAAGATACATTTAAAAAAGTTTAAAACAATGCTTAAAATTTTAAAAAAATTTAATTCAGAAAACTCAAACCAAACACACTAAGCCCCTATTTGGGAAGAGGCTTTTAGGGTTTTTTTTTGCTAAAATAGCCACAAGAAACAAAATAGGCTTTTTAGCCTAATAAGACAAAACATTACATCCAACCCATAATCATTACAATCTCTCACAAAAAAGTCAAAAAAATCAAAAGTCTTTCCTAAACTAAGGTTTTTAGCCCCAGGTTAAAATAACCAAAAAAATTAAAAAGCCAACTCACTTCCCAAACGACACCTGAGATTCCTAAGTTTGTTCAACACAAAAAAGGTGAAAATTACAAGTACGTTATTTTCTTGTACAACATAAGATAACATAGTAATTAAAATTTTTATTTTCTCTCTTTTTCGGTTCAAAATTTCCATAAGTCATATGACATCATTTTTTTATGTAGTGTTTCAAATTAATTATGTAGCGAAAAATTTTAAGAATAAAACATGTTGACACACTTATATTAGATAATTAAGAGACAAGGAACAACTCATTTTTTTAATAGATGTTGCAATTACAGCATAGACCGACGTTATCAATTTGTTGTCTTGTTTTTTCCTTCTGTTTTTATTTTCCTTCACGAGTCTTGGCACCCATATGGTGTTGATAAATGAACACATTAGGTAGTGTTTTGGAAAAATAATAAAAAGTTAATTTTTTGATATTTTTTTTTATAATTTTTTTACTTTTTTAATGTAAAAAAATAAAGAAGTAACGTGGTTAAAAAAAAAAAATCAAAAAAAAAAATGACATTTAACGAGCTTGACAAAACACCCGATGTGAATAAAGACAACAACTTTTCGGCACCATAAAAGTGTGAAATTTCCCAAACGACCTACCACCACTTCTTTCTACTACCCAAAATGGATGCCATCCCAGAAGTTCCCTTGAGCTCTGGCGGCCGGAGACTTCCCATCTTGGGGATGGGCACGGCGTCTGACCCACCGGTGGAGTCAGAAATTACGAAACAGGCCGTTATCCGGGCGATTGAGGTCGGTTACAGACATTTTGACACAGCTGCTCTGTATTTCACAGAAGAGCCTCTTGGTGAAGCCATAGCTGAAGCACTTGAACTCGGATTGATTAAGTCCAGGGAAGAGCTTTTCATCACCTCTAAACTATGGTGTAGTGATGCTCATCCCAAGCTTGTTCTCCCTGCTCTTCACAAGACTCTCAGGTATTTGCATTTTTATTTTATACAATTATAAAATACATTTGTGCTGTTTAAAATAGGTTGCCGGTATCACTTTGGTTTTTCAAATTTTAATTTTGTCAATTTTAAATTTTTAGTTTTTTTTTTTAAATTCTAGTTTTAGTCAATTTGATCCGATTTCAAATGGTGATCTAAATCAAATCATAATAAAATTGACCTATATTAAAGTATGTATTTTATATCACTTTGGTCTTCAAATTTGTAATTTTGTCAATTTTGTCCCTCGTAAAAACTATATTGTATCTTCTTCATTAATATTTAGGACTAAAGTAAAAAAAATTATAAAGAAAATTAATTACGCTTCATCCCATTCAAACTATTACTGAATATCGCTTATTCTTTTTTATAATTGAAAACCGATCCTTAAGTAGAGCCTTTGGACCCACCCCAGGAGCACAAACTCAAATATCATTTTACCTTCATCAACTTTAAAACCGTTTATGATATGAAAAAAAAAAAAAAAAAAACTTGAAAACCGTACATTCAGATTATTTAAATATAAAAATTATTTCACTTTCACCCTTCAAAAGGGGATATTTGTATAATTTTTTGTAGTTCAAATGTTTAAATAATTGAGGATCATGTGTATCTCATTATAATTTTGTAAATTATTTCAATAATATGTTTGAAATTGGATCAATTTGACTCAAATTGAAAATGAAAACTTCCATTTCATTCCAGCTTCCTCAGAAAAGCCAGAAAATTTGCTTCTTGATAAAATTCTTAATTGTGTGCAGAAATCTGAAGATGGTATACGTTGATCTGTATCTGATACACTGGCCAGTGAGTTCAAAGCCAGGAATATGCGAATACCCTATCAAGAAAGAAGACTTTGTTGAGATGGAGTACAAGTCTGTGTGGGCTGCAATGGAAGAGTGTCAAAGACTTGGCCTCACTAAGGCCATTGGAGTCTGCAATTTCTCTTGCAAGAAGCTTGCTCATCTCCTTGCCACTTCCACCATTCCCCCTGCTGTCAACCAAGTCAGTCTTTCTCTCTCTTTCTTTTTTCTTTTTTCTTTTTTAATTTTTTTTGGGAGTGGGCTTAGCAGAAAAGCACCATGGATTCAAACCATAAAAACAATCTCTCATTTGGAAAGGAAAAAAGAAAAAGTGTATGAAACTAAATAAAATAAAGATATGTTTTATTCACATTTCACCTACTTTTTTTATTTTGTTTTCCAAATCCTTCATCAAATCCCTTAACTAAACACGACATTAGTCAGCAGGCCAAGGTTCCTCCGTTGTGATCTAGGTATCATCAGTTCAAACCATAGAAACAATCTCTCTGCGCGTGGAAGTAAGATTTCTCTGCACGTGGAAGTAAGATTGTGTACATCTCTGATCCTCTCTAAACACGTTGGCGACAAGTCTCCTGCAATGATGCAGTATTCTTTATTTTATTTTTTTTTCTTTGTCTATTCTTCTGAAATGAGAAAACTGGTAGTGACGTTGTTGAACTTTTGAAAGGTGGAAGTAAACCCTGTTTGGCAACAAAAGAAGCTGATAGAGTTCTGCAAGGCCAACGGAATTCTTGTGGTTGCTTATGCTGCCTTAGGAGCTGTGGGAACCTATTATGGCACCAACAGAGTTATGGAGTCTGAGGTGCTTAAAGAAATTGCAAATGCCAGAGGAAAGACTGTTGCTCAGGTGATTTTGATATTGTTGTCTCTAATTTTGTTAGTTTATTTTCTAGTCCAAGATTTTGTCTCCGAATCTCTTTGTACTTCTGTCCCAAAACACTTTAACAATAGTTTGGATTATGCCTCCGAAGATCTCCCAATATTCTTACATGATTTAATGATTGTCAAATGTTTTCCCATGTCTTAAGATGATCCAATAACTACGAAGTGTTTCAAAACAGAGGAACAAGAAAATTCGGATACACAAGATCCTTGGCGTTCCTTCGATCTTAGTTTGCTTCAATTTTCGATCTTAAATTTGTGGTGTAACTAAAATTAGGACCCTAGATGGAGGGGAAGGCGAAAAAAGGGTTCTCACATGACTATCCAAAATAGCATACGTACAAACACATCATTTTTTCTTTTTAAACAATAGTGCACAGAATGCAACATTTGCAACACTACATCCACCTAGATGATAATCAACCATGCCTTCGTGAATTTTCTTGGGAAAAAAATTGGTGTATCCCCTCTACTTCCTGAGTAGCATATATAACAAGGTTTGGTTTAGTGAATGGACAACTATGGAAGGCTTATTGGTTAGGATCAATGCAGGTTTGTCTTAGATGGGCATATGAGCAAGGGATTGGTGTGCTGGTGAAGAGTTTCAACAAAGAGAGGATGAAACAAAACCTAGAGATATTCAATTGGTCATTGAGCAATGAAGAGTCTAAGAAGATTGGTGAAATCCCACAAAGTAGAGCATGTCTTGGCAAGGATTACACCTCAGCAAATGGTCCTTTCAAGACAATTGAGGAGCTTTGGGATGGAGAACTGTGAAGGACTCTCTCTATTCTCTCTATTGTTTCTATATCAATATTTGGATCAGTTTTATGCAATTTGTAGTTGAATTATGTTTGGAAAAAACACAACTTGTATCTTTTGTTTCTTAGAAAACATTCTCTTCTTGTATATTGTTTGCAAATCCACAGAGAGTTGTGTCCTGTTCTGTGATTAGTGTCTATGTTCCTAGAAGAACTGCTAGAGGTGTAAACCTACGAGGGCAAAGGTGGGAACAATTACCCCATGTCCGGGAGGATATGCATGATAAAACTGGAATCCTATCATTTGGAAGGAGTTAGGAGGCTCCAATTTAGAGATCAAAAGCTAAGTACACAAAAATAATGTTCACATCTATTGATTCTATTCACAGCTACTACTCGGTCTCCATCAAGGAACATAACAGAGGATTAGAGTTGGTAGAAGAGAGAAGACTGTCCTCATAGTTGTTAATTCAAGTTTACTTGCCTGTAATATGCAATGAGCAAATATCACACATAATTTTTATGTATTTATATGTTTGCTGATAAGTATGTGGGAAATAACAACTATGTACGGACACATACATTTCACAATCCAAAGAAGATAACACAGATCCAATGACCATACTACAAAAGCCCTTGCAGCCTACCAATTTAATGTAATACAAGCTATAGCATCAGCAAAAAGCCCTTTGAGAACTTCAGCACACAAAGATGTAGTAGCATGATTTCAGATTTAACAATGTACTGGCCTCTCATAAGTTGGGGGTAAAGTGGGGCAATACTCGTTCATGTTGGCATATGGCTCTAAGGTGTTGTACTCCGGCAATTCCATTTTATACTCACCGAGAATCTGGCAGAATGGGAGCTGATCAATCTCGTTGTTGCACCAGCTAGGTAGGCGTGTTATGTTTTCCTCAAAAATCTTCAGCATATATGCATCCCGTATCTGTGAACAATAGTAGTAGACCAATGTCATGTATAGTGATCATGATGACAGGAAACGGTCAGCAACATGGTTGTTAGAATTTTACTATTCACAATTCAATACGAGTTTCAACCAAAACAATTCGATTCGTGTTGTTGAATCATAAATTGTGTGAATTTTACGATTCAAATATATTCACTACGATCTATCGTGATTTACTATTTTCATTACAATTTATTGCTATTTAGTTTTGTTTGCATAATGCATGAAACAATGTCATTCGCAAAATAGAAAAAAAGATCAATTGATTATGTTGATGTACATAGTTTTATATGTACATACATATATCCAATTTAGATATATTAATATTTATTTCATTTTAAACATTGTGAAGTTATATACATAATAATAGATTATGCTAAATAAAATAAATCTTGAGATTCACAATTTGATACGAGTCATGATCTAATTTTTTAGCAAAATGATTCACAATTCAATTTGTGATTTGACAATAATGGTCAACAAGTCTTCGCTTATGGTCTTAGATACTAACCGTAAACTCGGTCACTTGAATAGAGTTGGCATAAGGACCAAGGATTCCCGCCTCTTTATACATTGCCAAAATAAAGGCTACACATGTTGTTGATTTCCCATCACTGTAGACCCAGTCATCTTGTTCTGGAATTGTAAGTAATTGATCAAAGGTTATGCCTTGCCTTTCAGTCTCAGCTAGAATTCCATACAAGTCCAAATCCTAAGAGGAGAAAGTAAAAGAAAATAAATAAATAATAAGAAATAAGGTGCAAAATGCAAATGTGACATCCATCACAATAACTGGAATGGTTCACAAAAATAATTACTGCTATTAGAAATTAAAAGGCATACTGTTGATCCTAAGTCAACTTAAACAGCTACTAATGCTTCAATTTTCCATACTAAGTTGTACAACACGTGGTTCAGAATATATGTTAACCATAACAAAGTTGGTTTTAGCATTATAACTATATTTTAATCTCTTTTTTTCTTTGGTTGAGATCATTTGAAGTAAACACAGTTTCTCCCCATCACAAGCTTCGCATCAAACCTAACTGGGAGTGTTTCCCTTGCTTCCTTCTACAAGGAACATAAAAAACCGGGTGCAAAATTGTGCTCAGAGTCTCAAATCAAGCATTATTCAATCATTTCCTCCTTCCTAATGCCAACATGCGTAGTTAAATACAACACAATTTTTTCAACTTTAGCCCACTTCAGAGGATAAAAGTCCCATCTATATGATAAATACCCATTGAAACTTAAACTGCCTATCACAAAGATGGAAGTAATTTACCAATACAACAATACACATTCTCATCAACGTCACGCTACTGGGTGATGAAGGGTTGGTGTGTTGCGAAAAGTACCTCAGTTCCAAGCCGCTTATTTAGAGCTTCATTCCACATATTTGCAGCATATGCCGGCTGCACTCTAGTCCACATAGACATGACAGAAATGACCTGTGAACAGAGTCAGCCAGTTAGAAATTTAGCAAAGTTCTCAACATCCTCGCATTTATTCACATGTAATGCAAATGAATGATTGCATCAAGTACATAGAATTTTTTCACCAGCAAAAATGAAACAGTGAAGATGACTGTCAAAGCACAAAAAAATAAAACAGGAACAAAAAAAGTGACTCCTAAAATTAATAATTCTGGCAAACTATGCACAGTACAAGTCATGCTAGACTACTCATCCATTTGTTATTACTGTAGCCAAAAGAATTTCACTCAAAATAGTGAGGATTTATAAACCCCATTGTTTACATTTATATGCATGTGCACTTTCAACACACTATCCACATGTTACCTATGTAATGAAGCTATTATAATTCCAAAGCAATGACCATAATAGAACTGTCAAAGCACAAAAAAATAAAACAGGAACGAAAAAAGTGACTCCTAAAATTAATAATTCTAGCAAACTATGCACAGTACAAGTCGTGCTAGGCTGCTCATCCATTTGTTATTACTGTAGCCAAAAGAATTTCACTCAAAATAGTGAGGATTTATAAGCCCCATTGTTTACATCTATATGCATGTGCACTTTCAACACACTATCCACATGTTACCTATGTAATGAAACTATTATAATTTCAAAGCAATGACCATAATAGAACCATATCACCAAATCCAATCAAACCAGAAGGCTTCTAAGCCAAGAAAACCTACTAAAATAGTCAAGAACTGCACAGTATTTAGTAGCATGGCATATGCATCATGGAAAGCCAAGTTTAAACTTTAATACAATATATTAGAAAAATATAAAACTTAAGCATACCAAGTGAGCATCAAGAGGTGGTGGATAGTTGTCAGCAATGGTATCAATCCAACTAAAAATCATGTTGTGATAACCATATGGCTTCCCTGCCATGCTCCGAGCATATTCCCATGCTGCAGTCGAATTAAATTTAGCACGCACATCTGGATGTAAGGGCAACAACACTACCTGTGGATTGGATTCATCCTTAAGAGACAATTCCCACCATTCATCCCATGGAATTACCACAATAATTTCTTCACCCTGAAACGCAACCAAGACAATATAAGCATAAAATCTAAGAACATGTTCACATAAATATGGTATAAAGACAATATGATGTTCACGCTGCTAAATATGAAGGCCAAAAAAAAAAAAGGAATCCACCAATAAACTCAATCCAAGAATTGTTCAAATATTTCCACATCTATAAAACCAAAAAAGAAAGTTCATTCCAGAAACCAAAATTTGAAAACCTACCTATCTTTTCAAATTTGTATTTTCCAACGCCCCTCACACCTGTTTGCATACATGATATAAGCATTACAATTCTACAGTTCAGTTGTTTTAAACTAAAATTCTTCCCCTTGCCAATTCCAGCTTTTTAGGTTTATGAGTTCATGCCAATAAGCACACAAATCTAACATGGCTCTAAAGTATAACGTATTGGGTAATTATATGTCTATGGCAATGTTAGGAGTTGGTATTGTGCATGCTTGTCTATAATTTAGGAGCAGTCCTCTGCCTACCTTTCCATTCTCATGTCCAGATTCACCAACCCAAAGATTACCAAATTCATCCTTCAAACAAACTGCTGTATGACCAGCAAATGCACCCGTTACCCACTTCTCCAATGTTTCAAATCCACCCCACCTACCACGGATCTTTGATAATGCTAAGAAATCACCAGAATGGACGTCATCTGGATTGATAGTTGCACGCCAAGGCCGAGAACGTTTTTCAAATGTCGCACCCATGTGTTTCTTCAAAAATTCTAAGTTAGCATTCTGACCCCAAACAGTGTTAGAGAATAGGGGAAGGACGTCTACTAAGGATAGCAAGGTCCCCAGCATTCCTGATGGCATAAGAAATACAGAGATTCCATGCTGCTTTACCTGCTCAATGATCAGTCAGTTAGTCAACCTTTTATAACAGATTTCTATAGAAGAATAAAAAGAAAAAGGATGAACACAATAATACATATTCCAGCTCTGCTTCTTCCTCCCAAGATTCAAATTTCAAAGTATGGTCTCGGGCAGAGAAATAATAATCCCAGGTAATCCTATAAGGTGTTACAAAAACATACAAATCCATACAGGTCCAGCTGTGAGCTGCAGAAGTTTGTGGAAAGAAAAATAAAGTTAAGAAAACCAACATTGAAAGAGTAGCATGGCAAGCAAGAAAATTAGGCATATATTCAAAATTGAAACTCATAAGTCCAAAACAAACTCTGAATATATGCGAGTGTGGAGGCTGTTGTAGATGCAGCCAATTGGCTGTGGATATAGGCTCACACTTGATTATCAAATTTGAATTTCAAAATGGTTAGGCCAGATACATTAACATGGTCATTTTTCCATGTAAATGAACAAAATTTGTTGCTGCCTCCCAAAAGAGTTTCACCTACATTTGTATATGCTTTCCAAAGCCTGTGAAGGCTTGTTAAAACAAAACACACCCAGATAATGGCCAGATTTGTTGCAAGAGTGCTTGGTTTATACTTATTTAAGTTAAGCATCATTACTTGCTCCATCAATAGGTCTGTTATCCACCCACCGATCGTCTCAAATTACCAAAATCAAAAATCAAATCATACCCCCGAGTAGAAGACTGAACAACTAAAAAGTTCCACATGCTTATATCTCCATGTCTAAAGTGAAACATGTTAACTCTTTTAAATCCAATATATTGTATGGTATAATAGGTAGTTAAAATGTGCACATGCGAATGCACATAAAGGAAGTGTTGCAAGATTTAGCATGATGCCTATTTCCATAGATAAAACGTGTACTAGGTGTCTAGGCTAGGTGTATGGATCTGAGTGTCGAAGTACTTAAGATTAAAGTCCTTCTGAGGCAACGCAAAGCGTGCTACCTTAGTTCACCTCTTTCTTCCTTGGGTTTTTTTAATTATTGCCGCTTGAGATGGTGGATATCTAAGAAATTCGAATACTTCTAAGAAGGCCATGTGTCTGTAAACACACTCGTCAGACAACATCCAAGTCCTATTATTCTTTCAATTTTTTTAGACCTGCACACTCTCCCGACACTTGAGGAACAAACGTGTTCATTGCTTGGACACATGAACAAATTAACTTAGTATACAATGATACAAGAAAACAATATATACATTTATAACTATTAATAACCCCCCCCCCCACCTTTAACTTCACAAATTAATTTTGTGTTGCATTTTTTTATTATCTTCAAATATAATATTTATATTCATGACATTTAATAAATATATAAAACTGTTTATTTTGTGCATTTTTTAAAAAAAAAAAATTATTGTGTTGTCCATGCTTCTTAGCCAAATATTTTTCGCGAGGCAGGCAAGTAAAGGAATATTGCAATCCCTAAGAGCTAACATAGATGAAATTTGCACCTCAAACAGTTAACCCAGTCTCATTCACCAGATGGCTTCTGTTATGAAGCTATCATTCAAAGAACTCACATCAATCGCTACTTACATTCACTGAAATCAACCTCAAAATTATGTTCTACCATTTATACTCTTCAAAAGCTCTCCAATACAATCTAAACCCAAAATGACATTGCCTATGGAGCAATTGTAAACATAATCATAACTAGTTACTCTACTTCAACAATTCTCACAATTCAAATCAAATCAATCATACACATGTATACAAGTGATAAAAAGAGCAAACCTTGAGGTGAAGAATACCGCCGCCCAAACCCCGATCACCGCCGGTGAACTCAAGCCGAGCTTCGTTATCGAAAAAGCAAGCCCCTTTCCACTCAATCGACCCATTGGTAGGGGAGACCGATCCAACGAACGACGGCAACAAGTCAACGGCGCTGTGGAGATTGTTGAGCACAGGCCATGAAATCTGCCGAGGAAGAGCTGGAAGGACATCGTTGACTCTGAAGGGTACCTTCAGAGATTCCCCAAAATTCAAACCCAACCCTAAACCTAACCCCAGAAAGTAAATTAACCCCAGCAACCACATGCTACGAGCAAACACCATCATCGTCAATATGTATGTACAGAATTGTGGTGATTGTGTATAGCCCTAGATTTGGGGTTTGAGGGAGGGAGGGAGGGAGGGAGGGCGTATTATGGGCGGAGAAGGAGGAGAGTTTGATCCATGGTTTGGGTTTGGACTGGTTCAAGTGACTGCTAGGGCTCGTTTGCCCTTTCGGCTGCTCCTCCGCCGAGCGGGAATAGAAAAAAAAAAAAGTATCATATGAAACCGATACAGATACAACATATTTTTCGAAATACCAGAGCTTGCTTGTTTCCATTTTTTAAAAAACACTTTTCAGAAAATTTTACTTTCTTATTTTCCGTATTTTTTTGTTTTTACTGAGTTTTTTTAAATATTTTAGGCAATTTTTTTACTTTTTAGACACACCTAACATAAATATACCTAAAAAGTAAAAAAATTATAAAAAAAATCTTTTAAAAATTCATTAAATACCAAAAATATAAAAAAAAATACAAGAATTCAATACATTTTTTGTATTTTTATGTATTTATTAATTTTTTAAAATTTTTTTACTTTTTAGATACATCTAACTAAGATGCATCTAAAAAAGTAAAAAAAAATATTTAAAATTTAAAAAATATTCACTAAAAACAAAAGAATACGAAAACTAAAAAAACTCAGTTTTCAAAAAACTTAATCCAGAAAACTCAAACCAAATATAATTTTTTTAAATCATTCTTTGATAATACAATTATTATATTTTAAATAATATTAATGAATTTAAAGAATGATAAAATAGAAAATTTATATAATTTTAGTTCTTCATTTTTTAAAATGAACTAATATTTTAAAATAATGAAACATGAAACAAATGATCAAATATTTTGGGACGGGGTGAGTAATTTTTTTTCTTTTTTCTTTCTTTTATTTTTTATACTAAGATTATGTTGATATTTAAAACTCAGTAATGCTACATCAACTAAATTTAAGTCTCACCCAAATTGTCCGAACTTGTGCATGTTTATTGTCCAACAAGTCATCCAACCGGCCATCTGAAAGGATGCCAGTCATTTGGCCGGATACGTGTTGACACACTAGTTAACAAGAGTAACAGTCATGGTCGACAAATGTGACAATCGCAATAAACAAGAATAACACTGGTCATCTGGTCACATCATTTGGGTGCAGTTGGACTCTTTCTATTTCGATAGACCAAGCATTTTTCTATAAAATTTAATTAAATTAACCTCCAATAAGATTTTGAAAAAATACAGTAAATCTTACAATTTTAACATAATTATATTGAATTCTTTTTTATTTTAATTTATATAACATTTAACCCCATTTTCGTCAATAATTTGTTCATTATATGTATGGGAAAAATGATATTGTCATCTATTTTACCTAAAAGTGTATATTTTACATTATTTATTTTTGTATTTTTTTCATAATATTTACATTAGTTTCGATTCATTTAACTTTATTAAAAAGAATATCTGTATAATTATATTAAAATTGTAAAATTTACTATATTTTTTAAAATATTTAAGTGGGTAATTGTAATTTACACTTAAATTTTTGACTTTTTATGGTCCAACATTGTTCTCCTTGTGTCTGGACAAGTTGTAACATTATTATACAGAAAAGTATTTTTTAAAAGTAACAGATTTAAGAAAATAGCAATAAATAAATATGATTTATTTTCAAAAAATTGCACTAAAAAAGATTTATTGCATTTCAATAGAATGCTTTTTTAATTTGTAGATACATGAAATCTTCAATTAAAAAGATTAAAAAAAAAAAAAAAAAAACCTTTTTTTCTTTCTTTTTTTTTTTTTTATTTTTTTTTTTCTCCTATTCTCCCTTCTCTTTTTTTTTTTTGCTCTCCCGGTAACTCCAACAACCACAATCGATGCCAACCATCCCTTTACCGCTACCCTTAGCCTCCTTCACTCACCCCCACCCCTTGTCATCGCTACTATACAATCATTGTTAACCACTTATCTACTACCTACTTCAATTTATCTACCAAGCATTTTTCTATAAAATTTAATTAAATTAACCTCCAATAAGATTTTGAAAAAATACAGTAAATCTTACAATTTTAACATAATTATATTGAATTCTTTTTTATTTTAATTTATATAACATTTAACCCCATTTTCGTCAATAATTTGTTCATTATATGTATGGGAAAAATGATATTGTCATCTATTTTACCTAAAAGTGTATATTTTACATTATTTATTTTTGTATTTTTTTCATAATATTTACATTAGTTTCGATTCATTTAACTTTATTAAAAAGAATATCTGTATAATTATATTAAAATTGTAAAATTTACTATATTTTTTAAAATATTTAAGTGGGTAATTGTAATTTACACTTAAATTTTTGACGTTTATGGTCCAACATTGTTCTCCTTGTGTCTGTACAAGTCGTAACATTATTATACATAAAAGTATTTTTTAAAAGTAACAGATTTAAGAAAATAGCAATAAATAAATATGATTTATTTTCAAAAAATTGCACTAAAAAAGATTTATTGCATTTCAATAGAATGCTTTTTTAATTTGTAGATACATGAAATCTTCAATTAAAAAGATTAAAAAAAGAGTGGTGATTCATCCCACTAATTTTTGGACCATTCTAATGAGCTTAAAAAAAAAAAAAAACAAACAAACTCAAGCCAAAACATTACATCACTTTGGTAGGGCCACTGTGTCACATCATTAGTGATACTCTAGAGCTCCCAATTTAGTGCTCTAAAACATTATTCTTAAAAAAAATAAAAAAAAATACCCTTTCTTCTTTTCTCTTTTTTTTTAATTATTTTATTCTCCCTTCTCTTTTTTTTTTTTGCTCTCCCGGTAACTCCAACAACCACAATCGATGCCAACCATCCCTTTACCGCTACCCTTAGCCTCCTTCACTCACCCCCACCCCTTGTCATCGCTACTATACAATCATTGTTAACCACTTATCTACTACCTACTCCAATTTATCTCTCTTCTTTCTGAAAAGAAAGGGAATGTGCGAGTGAAAGGAGAAGGGTGATTGTGTAATTTTATGAAAGATGCTCACTTATTTGCAATTTTGTTTTGCAACTATTCATGTATAAGGTAATTAGTTTAGTTCATTCCCTCAAATTGTAATTATGTTGTATTTCTTCCTCTCTCTTTTTTTGCAATTATCCCATTTATTTTTCATTAATTATTCACTTTATAATAAAATTAATTTGTAACTTTTGGGGGGCAAAAAATAGAAATAAATTCTAAAAACTCAACCAAACCTAAGCAATGAAACTCACATTTAACATACTTATATCGATCTTCTTTTTAGTAAAATTACAGTCATTGAAACTAACATAGATAATACATACATAAAAATAAATAGAGAAAAATATGCATTTCAATATAACAAAAATAACAACATAAGTTTTTTTTATTCATATAATTAATGAATTATTGATAAAAGTTAAAAAGTGTTTTAAACTAAGAAAATTTAATATAATGGTGATAAGTAACGTATATATATATATATATTTTTTTTTTTTTTTAATTTTATGTGAAAAAAAATTAAATACATGGAGTGGTTGTATGCAATCAATGTGTAACTTACCCCCAAACGTCCAATAACCAATTCTTGAAACATTTCCTTTAAAAAAATATACATTATTAATGAAACGACTATTCTTCCAACAACCCGCAAATTCAATTATGTAGGGACGTGGTCATAATCATTTCATGACAAATGCCAAACAACACTATCCTATGCGATAACCATTGAAAAGTCCCAAGACTAGCAAGATAATATCTCAATTAGCAATATTAATTTAGAATAAACACTCAAAATTTAAATTGTATTGAACAAATTCACTATATTATATATAACCCACAATACATCAAGCTCGGATCTATACCACATGTTCATTTTTTTAGTAAATTTCAGAATATTTTTGTTTGAAAACCATCTCAATTTCAAATTTTTCTACCCTTATAATCTTATTCTCATTACCCTAGTCACATAATCGCATTTTAAAATTTTTATATTTCAAAATTTCATAGCTTCATAGGATTGACAATTAACTTCATCATGAGTAAGATATTTGCCTCTTTATTAGGCCTCCTGCCTTTTCTCTCTTTTTTATTTATTTTTTTCTGTTTAATTATCTTTTGTTTCTTCTTGGAGATTGAGGAGTTTTAAACCCATGATGCTCACGCCAAGAGAGCATAAAAAAAGATACCAAGGAACCATACTACAAACAAGAACAAGAATAACACAATCCCATGAATTGACATTTATCAGAATAATAAATACCAACTCATTCTTGGAGATAACAACAATTTACAGATTATAATCTTTGGTCCTCAACTATTTCAAAAGCCAAAACATTTACAATTATTCGATCAAAGTCTTACTTTAATTATTTTGGAACAAGGATTTGTTTGATTAAATTAATTTGACAAAAATAAATATCTAAAAAGATATGTTCGAATTTTTAAAAATTATTTTAGCTCAAGAAATGAGAAAATCATATAAAAATGACAAGTGGTTTTTAATTATTATTTTTTATTTTTCACAAACTTCTTATTTTTTATTTCAAATTAAAACACAACCAAACATCCCATCCCATGCGACAATTTATATACTCGGGAGAGAATGCCAGAAGTCCACAAAGTTTGGACACACTTGTGATATTTTCCTAATATCTTCTGTTGATTCAAGAAACCTTGAGATCTTCATTTAGGTCAGATGATGAACAATCTTCAGAAAAATATGATCTCTTGGGTAGACCAGTTCACATCCCAAAGAGAAAGCAATTTGAATAGCAAGGAAGAAACAAAGCACTGTCTTCCACCACCATTGGCTGTCTGAACGGATTTAGCTGAATCTGAAAACAATGGAATTGAATGCCAAGTCTCCAATCAAAATTTCAGTTATTGTTTATGAACTTCTGAAAAAAGGAAAAAAAGAAAAGCAGAGCATACAGGAATCGTGAGAGGACAACTGGTCACAGAGCTTATGCAACAAGCAGCGAGATGACAAGCTTCTTCACAGTAATCAGAAAAAACTGCTGGGATATTTATCGTCTTTATTAGCTCCTGAAGTGCACAAGTGAATTTTAGCAAGTGGAAGATCTATATATATATATATATATATGTATGTATGTATGTATATAAACCGTTGCAACCCTCAAAGCAAAAGTAAATAAATAATCGCGTGTGCGTGTGCACATGAGGGAATCAAAGACGTACTATAGTTCGTAACCAGCTCATAAAAGCAGCAATCCCAGCATTTGGAGCAATAATTAAATGAGGCAAAGAATCCTGTCCATGGAATAGACCTCATCAGAAGCTCTTCATAACACCAAGCAAAATGCTGAAACGTCTTTATACAACAAACTATGGATCAACAACCTTTGCTATATCTCTGTAACGGTCATGATAATAACCTGAATGAAGCCTTAATCTGACCTCTGAACTTTTACCACTCACATGCAAGCTTAGATTCTCACTTGAAGATTTGCAAATGCAATCTGTCTCAATGCAGTGAGCATAATTGTAAAGATCAATCTTCTCGCCATCCCTAGTCAAAAAAATGCAAAACAAGTAACAGCTAACAAGCCAATAAAACGTGATCATCACCTTTCCAATTTATCCCAGGAAATCTCCAATAAGAAGCAACCAAGTAAAATATCGAAAAAAACAAATAATTTAAACAAAACTCAACGATGCGCAATCCCACACACAAGGCACGCCAAAGAAGAAAAAAAAATCGAAACCTAAACCCACTTGACTTGCACATGTAGTAAGCAAGCACTAAGCAGTGATAACATCAATAAAGAAGTATGCAACTGACCTATATTGTGGAATTGCAGGTCCAACAAGCTCTACATGCACTTGCACTCCCTGGAAAAGCGCAATCAACTCTCCAAAAACAGCAAGTTGAGAAAGCTCTTTATCAGGCCCTTCAGTTATGAAGTAAAACTAACATTCAGTTTAACCACAAAAAAGGTGCTATATAGTTGATATTATGAATGTTACCCTATCTCTTGATCAATTTCTGTAAAGCATATATTTCTTTTGGTGTTTTGCTCTTTAGCTGTACACGGGTGCCCTTGCTGCCTTGGCAATAATACTACTAAATGACAAACCATGACCAGCTCATAATGTTCTCACAAATAATAAGTTGCACTAGTCAGTCAATAAAGTACAACAAGAAGATGGTCTCACTTGCAAGCATATATTATACCACAAGGCACAAGTGACAGCATTAGCAAAATAATTAAGAAAAGAAATTCCCTATGAAATTGAAATGTTCACAGAGTAGGAAGTTCAAGTAGATACCAAGATAGTGTATACGGAGTTCATTACTGAATTCAGGAATCAAGTTTCTTGCAGCAGCAAGTTGAATGGCGTGATAGACCGTAAGTGGCTGGAAAAATAAAGGCAACCATGAAAAGATAATTGCACTCTCTTATTTTTTCCCAAGGAAGATACGTTAACAAAATAAATAGGAAAAACCATGGGAATTGCTTTGGATCGCTAAATTCACCATTTTGAAATGAAACCTAGCATATTTCGGAACGTACATCCCAAATTGTAAATCATTTGGGTATTAGTGTTTTTTGTAACACCAAAGAAGGATACATGAGTGTGTCCACACATAAGCACGTATTGTGTATATCATACCCAGTGAAGAAGCAAAGCAACAGGAGAATATAGTGGGATGCACCTCCAATCATAATAATCCTTCCAACTACATAAATGCTTTGGTATTGGGGATGAAGGACCTGTATGGTATGTTGATGTTTACAAAAAGTTAATTCAAGAAGCATCAAGTGTTACTTCACGGCAGGAAAAGTAGTTGAAATCAAAAGATAATACCTTTGCATGGGCATAAAATTTTTAAAAGGTTCCAGCTTTCAACCAACCTACCAGGAAAGTAAAATACCTGAATGAGAGATGACCTTGCATTTGTTATTGGAATTACAAACCCATCCTATATATGCACTAACTAAAGCATTGGCTAGTTTTTTCTTTTCCTTGATGCTTGATGCTCGTACTGAAGTAATAGTCATCTTAAAAAGAATTTAATTTAACCATCCACATTCATAAATATATATATATATATATATTTTATTAGCACTAGGGTATCCGGATCAAAACCAGACTAATCGCCAAGGGTGCACATCCACATTCATAAATATTGACAAGCACATAGTATGGAAAATTTCAGTTCACAAATCATATTAACTGTTGGCATAATAACAAACCTCGAATGATCTAACGAATCTACAGCAGCCCCACAAGAACATTCATGCATCCACAGTCCTACTTGGTGTATGCCCCGTTTTTTCAAGAACGAACACCGAGTCTCCTGCTTTTCACACACCTAACAAGAACCAACCAAAATTAGCACATCAATCAAGTCAAGGGAAAAAAACATAATTGATGAAAATATTGAACCTACCATGCACAACCTCCCACCCATCAATCAAAATTATTTATTACCTGAACAGTAGCTTCTTGAGAAAATGCAAAAGGAAATTCATTTAATACATCGGCACATTTCATTTGTTGTTCCAACCTTTCACACTCTTCCTTATGAACAGTCCAATGCGAAACCTATATACAAATGTTGAACAGAAAAACAAGAGCATAAAATCAAGACAATCACCTGACAACGAGATGGATAGCAAAACAGCTCCTAGTGAGTTCGGATGACCCTAGTAAACTTTACGTGCTTGTTCATTTTGAACACACTAAGAATCTTTGAAAATAAACAAAAGATGATATTATGGGGTTAATTTTGACAGGACATTTGGAGAAACAGTGTCGATGCTTATTTTTTTGCTGCTTCCACATTACACATTCACAACTTTTCCCCCTTTTTTTCTTCCTTCTTTTTTTGGAAGGAAAGTATAGTTCTTTTTTGTTTTTGTTTTTGGATTTGACACACCAATGAATGGGTGAATAATACTCACTTCTATATTTTTTCTTTGAAAATGTAAGGTAATTAAGACAAACTTCAAATCTTGGATAAAAATATAGATTTAATTCATCAAAAAAAAAAACAATGACATTACTTAGAAATGATTGGCTAATGTATCTACATCTTTCATCTACTTAAGCATCCCCAATCCTTACTCTTTGTTTTCATCAAATTTGAGTGAAATTTTGTTAAAAGCTTGACCTCATATGGAACCCACACTCCTTACTCTCTCTTTTTATCAAATCTTTTTGAAAAATTTCAAGCTTATCCTAAAAATCTGTTTTTAACTTTAAACCATTTTTCATAAAAGAAAACCATCTCCAATCCATACTCTTTTTAAAATTTCATCAAATTTTAGTAAAACATGAATTGTGGGAATTGGGGAAAGATTTAGTTCATCCTTGATATGGCAAAAAAAAATTACCTCTGCCTTAATTTGATACAAATTCAATGAAATGGCTAGAGCACACTTTTAGCCATTTTTTCAACAAATTTGAATTTGATGAAAAATTAAGGGTAAATTACAATTACCTCCCCTGAGGTTTTGCATAATTGTAGGGACCTCTCTTGTGATTTCTAAAATTACAGTGACCTTCCTTACTTTTTCTGACATTGTCATGATTCCCCCCTCTCATTAATTTAGCTCAAACAGTGTTAATTTGGTTGTGAAAATGCCCGTAATACCCTTCAAATACTATTCATAACCTTAAGGGAACTAAGTGTAATTTACCCTAATATATAGTATATAGATATGAAATTACCATTTTAGTTCTCACAACATTTGCAAAATGTAAATGTAATTCTGACTCAGCATTTTTTTTTTTTTTTGCTATAAATTTTTGAACTTCTATAAGTTAAAAATAAAAAATAAAAAATAAAAAAAAAAATCAACCATTAATGAAGATAAGAAAGAATATACATGTTTCTTGTTTGAATTAATTTGAAGATTTAATTTAATAAAAAATAGTTTAAATGACAGAAACAAATATGGAGATATAGATTTTAGATGTAATGGATGACAAATTATTTGAGAATTTTATTATTTTCAAATAATTTCTTCCTTCAAGTAAAATTCATTTTTAATTTTAGGTGTAAGAAATGACAAATTCTTTAAATAATTTGTTATTCTCAAATAATTTCTTCATCTTTCATTTCTGGTCAACTAATTTTAATTTATTGTAATGGGATTAGATTTTTTTTTTTCGCTTTTATATTTATTTTTAAATTTTTTGTTAATAAGGTGACAAATATTGACCTTTTTTTTTTTTTAATATCTATCGATTGCAAATTGAAAGACTTAAAGATAAAAATTAAAATTTGAAAATAACTTAAGATTGTGAAAGGATAAAAATGATAATTTTTTATATATGTATAAATAAGTAGTGGAAATTGCCCCTTCCCCAACAATTTTTTTTTTATTTATAAAAAGCAACACATGATATACATGAAGTAGCATTTGGTAATATTATAGGTCAAGTTTTTTTTAATTTAATAAATATGAAAGAAAATTCATGTTTCATATTTTGCTATGGTATTAGGTGATGCTAGCTAGCAATGATAAAAGAGAAAAAAAAATGATGAAAAAAATGGAGGAAGGAGTATAAGGGAAGAGAACAAATAATAATAATAATAATAAATCATGTGGCGTTGCTATTTGTTGCAGTAGCACCATGAAAAAATGAATGAAAGAATAAATAAAAAGAAGATTGAAAAAAATAAAATAAAGAAATAGAGGGAGGTAGTGGAAATTGATTTATTTTTTTTTTAGAAATAGAAAGTGGATCATGATGGAAGAAGAAGAAAAATTTTAAAAATTATGAAAAAAAAAAATTTGTGAGAAAAATAAAGAAAATGAATTAGAAACAATATAGAGATAAAGTTAGTTTGTGAGAGGTAGAATATAATATGGGTTAAGATTTTATGTAGTTGCACCTGTGGGTAAGGGTGTGTGCGGTGTGGTTCAGACAATTTAAGAATAAAATTATAAACCAAATGGTGGATTGATGGATTGGCAAATCACGGTTTGAGTGGTTTTAAGCAGATTAACGGATTGAAGAATATTCTAATCAATTATCAAGCGTTTGCATAATATATAATACTAATTTGCATAATATTTAATACTAATTTGCATAATATTTTTCCTATATATAATTACTAATTTGTAACAAATTTCACACCTTAAATCTCTTACACTCATTTTTATCTTGATATTTTATTAAAGATTAAAAAATATATATGTATTAACTATAGTGGACCGGAGAGATTTTGAAGGCGAATTATAAATTTTAAAGTTTAATCCGCGGATTGATGCAGATCGGTGCAATTTTAGCAGATTCGGCGCTATTTTACAATGTCCTGCCCTATGAAGCATGGACACGCATATGAACACCGACACGGACACGGGACACGGTAGTTTCTAAAAAATGGAGACACGGATATGGCATGGGACACGGCAAATTTTTAAATTTTTTTATAAATATTTTTATTTTAATACACATTAATTATTTTATTTATTTATTACATTTTTTAAATAATGTGTTCCAATTAATTTTTTTATTTTATTTTACATATATGTGTTTATTTATTTATTTATTAATAAGTATATATTATCTTATAATATGTATTATATATTATTTTATAAGTATATTTATGTTTTATAATAACTATTATATAATATATAACTATTATAATATATAATAATAATAGTTATTATAATAATAGTTACATATATTATACTCCTATATGAATCAAGGATAAAGACGGGAGAGAAGAGACAAAGCAGGAGACAGAAGCAAGAAGCGAGCGAGAGGGAGACAAGCGATCGCGATCAGCGACAGAAAAGGAGACAGAAGCGATCGCGATCGCGATCGCGAGGAAGAGAGAGCTCTGCAAATGCAAAGCCGAAGGCAAGAGAGAAAGCTCTGAGTTGAAGTGGACTGGATCGTCGAAATGGACTGGATGGAGGTCAATTGGCTCGAGATCGAAGGCTAAGAAGTTGCCGACCAAGTTTGTACTCCTTTTCTATTTCGTTTACTCTTCTCTCGTGTCCCATAGCGTGTCCAAATTTGGACACGTGTGTCCCCGCCTTGTCTCCACCGTGTCCCTTGCAAAAAAATTAATTAAATTAAGGGGACACGCCAGATGCCGTGTCCCGTACGTGTCCCTGGCGTGTCCCCGTATCCGACACCGCCACGGCTTCCATTTTGGCGTGTCCATGCTTCATAGGTCCTACCTATGGGTATAATAGTAGGAGAGGTCTTTGCAATTATATAAAACCTTAAGAGAGGTCAGTGTAATTTACCCTTTATTCTGTGCATTGATAGAGAGAGACGAACAAGGGCAATTTTGACATTTTAAGCTAAAATTGTTAACATCACCTCAAATTGTTAGACATTCTAACAGATAGATAACATAAGGTACGGGAAATCTTGAGAATAATTTCAAAAGTAAAAGAGGTTATTGTAATTATTGAAATTACAAAAGAAGTCTCTGTAATTATAAAAATCCTCAGGGGGATAAGTGTAATTTACCTAAAAAATAGTGAAGGAATGGAGATGGTCTTACATAAAGATTTGCAATAATTTTGTTAATTTATTTTTGAAAATGGATATTGAATGTATTGTGACGGATTTATTTCAGTATGTCTCATTCAATAAAAAAGTTAATATCATATCATTAAATTTAAAAAATAAAAAATAAAAAAACAAAGAAAAAACTTGTCTCTCCTACTGCTAACAACCTACCCACCATCTGAAATGCTCAGGGTGAAATTGATCACTGAACGTTACACCATATAAGAAAAGCTCAATTCAAATTGCGAAGATCTAGGGTTTTTACATAGCACTATAAGTCTAATTCCTCCAAATAGATATCATCCAACATGAACAATAGTAGCTAGGGTTTTTCTTCATCAAGACAGAAACAAACATATATACCTACCTGGTGAGAGATGGAGCAATAAGCAACGGCTCCGCAACGGCCACAACGTCTTGTGGGTGGGCCACTGCACTGAGTTCTTCTGCTTCCCTTTCCGGCGCATTCCATGGCTTCAGGTCGGCTTGGCTTCACAGTCCAGAGACCTAGTCGACTGTTGATGTACTAGTTTCTAATTGGTTTTGGATCATTCAAACCGTCTTATGAGTTGTTTGGATCGGACAAATTGTGATCGACCCGAATATTGGCCCGATAGCATTAAAGTACCCTTTTTGGTGCGTAATTTATAATAAATTAAATTTTAAAAAATGTTTACTGACTCGTGAAATTATAGATATTTTATACCGTATTTGATTAGGAGATTTGAGAAGAGATTTAGAAAGAAAAAGAAAAAATGTATGTAAAATTAAGTGAAATATAAAAAGTATATTTTGTTCATATTTCACATACCTTTTTCATTTTCTTTTCTAAATGCTGCTCAAATCTCCCAACCAAACACAATATTAAAAGGGTTTGGGTACCATCTATAAATAAGTTATTTATTGACTTATTTATGTAATATCATCTCTTTATTTTTTTTATATGTATTTTCATAATAAATAAAAAAAATTAAAAAATAAGTCATATTCAAACCACCCTGATTTATGCTTTTTAATTATTAACTTTTAATTTGTTAAAAATTAAACCAAAATAAACCTTAAAAGATAAAATAAGTTTTTAGGACAATGTTAAGAAATTTAAAACAATTATATGAAAATATATGTTATATGAAATGTATAATTATTTAAAGTATTATTAACCAATAATATGGTATTTTCATTAGCAAAACCAAAAACAAACAAAACATAACCCATAATCTTTTGATACAGGGTGAAGTAGTTTTTTTTTTATTGTTTTTGATTTGTAAGAGAATGCTATTATTATTTATAAATAGCAAAAGAATTACGTCAAATTAGACAAATAGGAAAAAATTAATCAAGTCTAACACTAAACAATTATTACATAATACCCCCAAAAAAATTATAACATGAACAAAACAAACAATTAAAAAAATACTTTTATAAAGGGAAAGAAATAATAACTACCGACTAAAATTATGGAGTAGTTATTCAAATGAGTTAGCTTTAACACTTGTCACAAATTTCTACCATAAGAAGGAATTCACTCACGCTACTTGTGGCTAAAGTAAAAGAGTTGATTATAAGTACTTTAGAGGTTTGTTAATCTTTCCACCAATTCCCCTTGTACGACAATGAAAATGAAAGCTGGGACACCATCTCTCATAGCCATCCACAAGTAATCTTGTTGGTTGTCCTAATCAAATCTTGGTATTCTTCTCATAATATTATAGCATATCCTAGGTATTATTTTTTATTAATTTTCCCTCCTATTATATATCCTCCCACCTTTGGGTGGTATTATTTGAAAAGATGAGAGAGAGTTGATTAACTATTTGATAAAGTGGGAAAGATTTCAAGTAATCTTGCCAGCACAAGAAACATCAAGAAAAAGATACCCCAAATCATACAAAATTTTGAAAAAATCAGATGCCAAATACTAATAAAAGGATCATTGACAGTCATTTCTCTCTTCTTCATTGTTTGTTTAAAGCTTGCAAGCATATTTAAGGGGCAAGGGATCTTTTGTGGGGATCTCTCCTATCCCAAGCCCATTTCCTCACATGATCATGTTAGAGATTCATCATGTGATAGAGAGGTACCTTGAAATAGAGGATAGATACAAAAAAAAAAAAAAAAAAATTCAACCTTTACCTACGTTCATCATGAGAAAATGGCTTTTTCCTAATTCCACAGTGAACCGAACACATGCAGTTTGAGTTTACGGAGTCACTACAGACCTTATTAATAATTTGATTAATTCATTTTATAATTTTTTTTGTAAATTTTTCACAAAAATGTTTGATTTGTATGATAATTATAAATATATATAATTTCACCATATGTGTCTTAAAAAAATAGTAGACGGTTTATTTTTAAACTCTTACTTGCTTATTAAAAATAAATAAATATTTATTCATTAAAAAAATTAATCAAGTATTAATAATCACATAATTGATTTACGTTGATCTTTAAAAAGAAGTTAGCTAACACTTGGACAAATTTCTAGCATAAGCAGACATTCACTCTACTTGTGCCCAATTTGAAGAGTTGATTAAGGAATTTTTTTACATGACTTGACAATTTTTAATCGTCAAACAACTTGTTAATTTATTGACATGAGAATTCTTACACTTTACTGAAAGGTCAATAGTTTGAATATTAGATATATTTTCTCTAACATTAAAAATTTGTTTGTATCTATATATAGATATACATATATAAGAAAAATGAATTTTTAGTGAGAAGTCTTTTGGGAATTCCAAATCTTATTTTAATTTTCTTAATTTTAAATAATTACTTTTATCTATATGTATAAGGAAAAGGGACTTTTTAATGAGAAGTTTTCTAGGAGCTCCAAACCCTCATTATAATTTTCTTGATTTTCTTAATCTTAAATAATTATTTTTATTTGATAATCTCACATCGGAAAAATAAAGAAAAAAAATGAGTTGTTTTACTCATATAAAGAGAATCTTATACTCTCATCCCATTTAATGAAGAGTCTTGTGAGAGTTTCAATATCTTATACTAATTTTCTTGATTTTCTTAATTTTAAACAAAGAAAGAAAAAGTGAATTGTTTAAGTTGTGATAGTTTAAGTTAGAAGCTTAGTATAGGTTGATGGTTCACCAAACTGTATGGTAATATATATAATTTTATAAATAGAACATATATTTTTTTATTAAAGATAAATACATTGAAATCACATGAATATAACTTTAGAATAAATTTGATTTTTTTTTTTTAATATGCATGAGTTTACAAAATTATCGAGTATGATAAATTTACCAATCTAAACTATGTCTTTCTAATTCCCGTTGACTAACTTTCATTTACTTTTTATTTTACAATCCTACATCGAAAAAAGAAAGAAAAAAATAAATTGTTTCACTTACATAAAGTAAATCTTATGTTCCAATTTATATAAGCCAAAATAGATTTTTAGTGAGAAATCCTATGATCAATATCTAATACTCATTGTTTTGATTTTCTTAATTTTAAACAATTAAGAAAATTCCTATTGGCTAGCTTCCATTTAATTTTTATTTTATAATCTACATAGTTTTGATTTTAAAAATAATTTTGTATGAGATTTTGAAACTCTTGTAATATTTAACTTTAAAATAATTACAATTCCACATCGAGAAAAAAAAAAGTAAAAAAATCGAGTCTTTTCACTTATATAAAGTGTTACAATCCCACATCGGGAAAGAACAAAAAAGTGAGTTGTTTTAAGGAATTCACTTATATAAAATGAATCTTATAAATGAAGTTTTAAGGAAGAAGCATTTTAGAAGGTCTAAACTTTCATTATAAAATTATTGAATTTTTTTAATTTTAAACAATTAAGAAAATTCATATTGGTTAAGTTCCATCTACCTTTTATTTTACAATCCCAAATCAAGAAGAAAAAAAAAAAAAAAAGTAAATTGTTTCATTTATATAAAGTGAATCTTATGCTCCAATTTATATAAATTATTGAAATTTATTAATTTTAAACAATTAAGAAAATCCTAATTGGTTAGCTTCCATTTAACTGTTATTTCACAATCACACTTGTTTTACTTATATAAAGTGAATCTTATACTCTCATTTATATTAACAAAATAAGATTTTTAGTAAGAAACCTTATAATCAATACAAATTTTGTTTGTTTGTGTGTTTAAGAATTCACTCGGTAATGGTTTTGAGCAACCAAATATACCACGTGAATCACAACGCGGCATAGAACGCGTTACCACTTTGACCCGAGTAAATCGACACTTGGGGCCCACCTAAAAAATAGACCGAACTTAGGAAAAAAATTCTGGTTTTATCCAGAATTTTATAACCATTTCCAACACTTTTTAATGAGAAGTTTTCTAGGAGCTCCAAACCCTCAATATAATTTTCTTGATTTTCTTAATCTTAAATAATTATTTTTATTTGATAATCTCACATCGGGAAAATAAAGAAAAAAATAAGTTGTTTTACTCATATAAAAAGAATCTTATACTCTCATCCCATTTAATGAAGAGCCATGTGAGAGTTTCAATATCTTATACTAATTTTCTTGATTTTCTTAATTTTAAACAAAGAAAGAAAAAGTGAATTGTTTAAGTTGTGATAGTTTAAGTTAGAAGCTTTTATCACAGTATTGGTTGATGGTTCACCAAACTGTATGATAATATATATAATTTTATAAATAGAACATATATTTTTTTATTAAAGATAAATACATTGAAATCACATGAATATGACTTTAGAATGAATTTGATTTTTTTTTTAATATGCATGAGTTTACAAAATTATCGAGTATAATAAATTTACCAACCTAAACTATGTCTTTCTAATTCCCGTTGACTAACTTTCATTTACTTTTTATTTTACAATCCTACATCGAAAAAAGAAAGAAAAAATAAATTGTTTCACTTACATAAAGTAAATCTTATGTTCCAATTTATATAAGCCAAAATAGATTTTTAGTGAGAAATCCTATGATCAATATCTAATACTCATTGTTTTGATTTTCTTTATTTTAAACAATTAAGAAAATTCCTATTGGCTAGCTTCCATTTAATTTTTATTTTACAATCTACATAGTTTTGATTTTAAAAATAATTTTGTATAAGATTTTGAAACTCTTATAATATTTAACTTTAAAATAATTACAATTCCACATCGAGAAAAAAAAAAGTAAAAAAAATGAGTTGTTTCACATATATAAAGTGTTACAATCCCACATTGGGAAAAGAACAAAAAAGTGAGTTGTTTTAAGGAATTCACTTATATAAAATGAATCTTATAAATGAAGTTTTAAGGAAGAAGCATTTTAGAAGGTCTAAACTTTCATTATAAAATTATTGAATTTTTTTAATTTTAAACAATTAAGAAAATTCATATTGGTTAAGTTCCATCTACCTTTTATTTTACAATCCCAAATCAAGAAGGAAAAAAAAAATAAATAAATTGTTTCATTTATATAAAGTGAATCTTATGCTCCAATTTATATAAATTATTGAAATTTATTAATTTTAAACAATTAAGAAAATCCTAATTGGTTAGCTTCCATTTAACTGTTATTTCACAATCACACTTGTTTTACTTATATAAAGTGAATCTTATACTCTCA